TGGTTACGAATCGGGCTGTGAACCTTAAGGTCAGCAGTTCGAAACTACCAGCCGCTCCGCGGGAGAAAGATGAGGCTTTCTACTCCCGTAAAGATTTACACCCTTGGAAACCCTGTACAGGGTCGCTATGGCTCGGAACCGACTTGATGGCACTTAACAACAACAACAACAAAAAGAGCTCATTGGTAGCCGTTGTTGCTTGCTGTTGCTTAGTGCCATCGAGTCGGGATCTGACTCACAGAGACCCTGTACAGGGTTTCCAAGGAGCAGCTGCTGAGTTAGAACTGGCGGCCTTAACAGCCCACACCAACGTTGCAGTTTATCACATAAACTGGCAATGCCACACCAGAAGTCCCACTGGTAGCTGTAGAGTACAGGAAATCACTAAACTTTTGACCGTGGAAGTCAGGTTTTAGGAAATCAAATGGACATAAAGGAAATAACAGCATCAGATGAACCACTCATGTGAACGTGCAAGAAAGACTGTACATCCATAAAGATTTTCAGTCTTAGAAACCCTGTGAAGCACTTTTATTCTGTCCTTTAGGAATAGGGTTACTATGAGTTGCACCTGATCCCACAGCAATGGGTTTGGTTTTTAATTGAAAGAAGAATATGAAGAGAGGGACAATTAGAAAAGATCAATCCCCCCCCCCCCCATATTGTGGTTGTTAAATGTTGTAGAGTCGGTTCTGATTCATAGCAACCCTGTATAGGGTTTCTGAGGAATGGCTGGTGAGTTTTGAACTGCTGACCTTGCAGTTCAAACTAATCTTGCGGTCAAGTGTTTATCCTATAGTGCCACACCAGGATTCCATACTATGAAGCCTTTTTCAAGGTAAAGTAGATGCTCTGATTATTTGACAAAAGCTTAGATACTTGCATCTATAAGGGTTAAAATACTGCTACAACACACTACTGCCATCCTACTTATTATGTTCTTTACTTCTAACATCATCGTGAACTCTAGAACTATAGGGAAAAAACAAAAAACAAAAAACAACACCAAAAGGTTTCTCTTACAGGCTTATAAGAGACTGGAAGTAGAAGGGTCTCAAAGAATTTTCATGGGCTGGACAGGCATATTCCTACACCATCTAGAAGATAGTCTGTTTATTTTCAAGGTGATTAAAGAAAGATATCTAGCTGATTTCCCCAGTAGTCTATGGTACTTTTTAATAACACTCACTTCCTTTCATTTAACCAAAATGAGAAAGTATAAAGATAGAACTCTCCAACTTGCCTCAGTAAGTACTACTAGTTTACTATAAACTTGGCTTATCTTATAGGTCCAATAATAAAGAATGATATGAGAGCAATAAACTGTCATCTACTAGCAATACTCTGCTATTATGAACATTGGCAGATTTAAGATGTGATTTCCCAAAGGGCTTAAGTATTATGGGCACAATTCCAAGGACATTGTGTTTTGCTCTACATCAGTTTCTCCTGTATCAAAGACACTATCATTTAGCTTAGAGAATGGGCCATTTTAGTTTAGGATAGACTTTCATGGTCACAGGGCTGTCCTCTATGTCTCTTCTTTTTTAAAGAAAATACTCAGATTGGATGGAGTCCTGGTGTGGCACTGTGGGTTAATGTGCTGGACTGCAGAATTGGCTTGAACCGAAGGTCAGCAGTTCAAACTCACCAGTTGCTCCTCAGAAACCCTATACAGGGTCACTGTGGGTCAGAACCGATTCAGTGGCACTTAGCAACAATAGCTCAGATTGGATACTACTCAGACTGAGAGTACTGATGCGACGCTGTGGGTTAATACGCTGGACTGCAAAGTTAGTTTGGACCACAAGGTCTGCAGTTCAAGCTCACCAGCTGCTCCTCGGAAACTCTATACAGGGGTCGCTATGGGTTGGATCCAACTCAATGGCACTTAACAACAACATCTCAGATTGGATTAGGACCCACGCTAATCCAGAATGACCCTGTGTTAACTGATAACATTGTTAAAGACTCCATTTCCAAATAAGATGACTTTCACAAGTACTTGGTGTTAGATCTTCAGCATACAGACACGTTGTTGTTAAGTGCCATTGAGTCGGAGCGGACTCATAGCAAACTCTGCAGGAGTGGTCCAGTGCATTAATCCACAGCGCCACACCAGGACCCCAGCATGTGGTTTTATTGTGCTTTGCTTTATTCGGTTTCACAGATGATATAATTTTTTACAAATTGAATTGAGTCAGTCTCAGCGCCATTTTTTCAACAGCATGTGTTCACTTTATGTCTTTGTCACATTGAGGGAAATCTCACAGTGTTTCAAGAATTTTCATAATGCTGTTGCACACCTGATAGACTACAGGATAGTGTAAACATGATTTTAATATGTGCTGGGAAACCAAATGTATGACTCACTTTGTTGCAGTATTTGCTTTAATTTGGTGTTCTGGAACCAAACATGTAATATCACTGAGGTATGCCTCTACATTTTGAGAGGACACCATTCAGTCCATTTTAGGGGTAGTTCCCCACATTCTTGCATTTTTCTCATTTTGTTTAAGGTTTTTTGTAGAATGAGAGCAAAGACAAAAACAGATTAAAAGTCAAAGGATGGGAAAAAAATAAACCAAGCTAATTGCAATAAAAAGCAAACAGGAGTGACAGTACTAATCTCTGATAAAATAAACTTTAAAGCAAAAACAAGCATAATAGATAAAGATGGACATTATCTCATGATTAAAGGGACAATTCAACAAGATAACATAACCATAATATCTATGCTCCCAATGAAAGAGCTCCAAAATATATAAAGCAAACTCTAATAGATTTGAAGAAAGAAATACAATAATCGTGGGTGATTTTAATACACCGCTTTCAAAAATGGATAGAACAACCAGAAAGAAACTTGACAAAGACACAGAAGAACTAAACAACACAATCAGCCAACTGGACCTCATAGATGTGTACAGAGCATTCAACCCAACAACTACACAATACACATTCTTTTCAAGTGCACATGGAGCATCCAGAATAGACCATGTTTTAGGCCACAAAACAAATCTCCATAAATTAACAAATATCAAAATACTACAAAGCATATTCTCAGACCACAATGCTGTCAAGTTAGAAATCAACACTAGGAAGACCAAGAAAATAAAGTCAAATACATGGAAACTGAATAGCACCCTGCTGAAAAGCTACTGGATAGTAGAAAAATTAAACGTGAATTCACAAAGTTCCTGTAAACAAATGAGAAGGAAAACACACCATACCAACATCTTTGGGACACGGTGAAAGTGGTGCTGAGAGGACAATTTATTGCAATAAATGCACATATCCAAAAAGAAGAAAGAACCAAAATGAACACATTAACACAACATCTACAACAATTAGAAACAGACCAACAGAGGAAACCTACAGCCACCAAAAGAAAAGAAATAATAAAGATTAGAGCAGAAATAAATTACTTTGTCTTTCAATGGCTTCCATGAATTCTTGCACTGTGTGTATATGTGCATGCATACACATGCTGTTATGTCTTAATAGTTTTTCTTTAGCCCCTTCCCCTTTTAATCTAACACAGCTCTGAATTATGCAGTGCCCACAAGTAGTCTTCCCACACTTGTTTATTCAATTAAAAAATCAAATTATCATACAAAATTGTATTTGTAGATTTGCTAGACCATTTTTGTAGTTTACAACGCCATTTATATATTACACAAGACATTTTATTGTTAAGATAAAGGAATTAGCAAATAAGGCCTTAGAAATTCCCTAAACCTGGTCTCTTTTCTTAAGGATTCAACCCCACTTCCCACTTCTGCTTTCGCTTAGTACAGTGCTTGCCACGCAACTGAAATAATGTAAATTCGTACTAATAATTAACTGTCTCCATGTTAAGAGTTCTTACTTTCAAGCAATAGAAATCATCTGGGGCTAACAAGAGGGAAATTATTAACAGGCTATCAGAGGACCCACAGAATAAACCGGAAGGACCACACATTGGAATGGACAGAGACCAGGAGAGTTCTGAGTAGTTAGGGGCAGGAACCATGGCCTTGGCCTTTGTAGCAAGAAGAGGCTGTTCAGCATGTTGCCATCAGGAAGAAGAACCCGCAGTCAGCCTTCTGGGTTAGCGTTCTCTGAGGATATGTAATGGGCAGGCTCAGTAACCAAAGGAAGGGAGTGGAAGAATGATCTGGTTGACCATTGTCTTCTGTAATGGCAGGTGATACCCCAAAACACCCACACAATTGTACAAAGAAGAGAAGAAAAGGCAGTGTCCCAAACAGAAACTAGGGTACTACTAAGAAAGGGGAATGGATGTTAGACAGTCAAAAATGGCAAATATCCATTATCCCACATTTCTCATATTTTAATTTCTCGTATAAATTTTAGGTGGTTGTTAAGTGCTGTTGAGTCAGTTCCAACTCATAGCAACCCTGTATAGGGTTTTCAAGGAGTGACTGGTGGGTTTGCACTATCAACCTTACGGTTAGCAATCCACATCTTATCCTACAATGCCACATCAGTACCCCAGTGTTTTGTTGATCTAGTCTTTATTTAGCTAGTGTGAACTTTAAAACACAGTCCGAGATATTCCCCTCTGCCATTCACGGCCTGTATGTGATCAAAAGATAGCCCTCTATATTGTCACCTTGTTCTCTTCTGGAAACATTATTCCAAAAAGACTCAATAGGAACTCATGAATTAGTATTATTATAGCATAAGCATTAAATATTAACATGACCTACATTTTTTTTTCCTAAATAAGTAGAATTAAATTCAATGCTGTTTTTTCCCCTGTAAGTTAAAAGGGACTAAGATGACACTGGGGAAATGGTGCTAATCTTACTGAAATTTGGTACTTGTGTGGTAAAACATATTTATTTTCCATCAAAGGTGATGTTTCTGACACAGTAGAAGACCTTGTTACTTTGGAAATCTTTAGTTGGTGGTTTTTTGTTTGTTTGTTTTTTTAAAATGCCATCCAAATTTAAAATGGCCCATTTCAGTGTTTTCCCTTTGCTCTTATGTTCTAGGGGAAAATATACCCATTTCGGGGCGCCTTCCCTCCAGTGTGGAACCCCATTGCATATCTGGATTATAACAACCTATGGAGGACAATGGATAACATGGGAAAGGAGGTAAAATGTCTCTTCAGCTTGCCCATGACTAATTACTGAAATAACAGTAATTGTTTAAGAAGTTTCTACAGTGGAGAAAACATTGCTCTGAAATTGATGTGCATTCTTTCTATGATCACAGCAAGTGGTATTATTACCACTTTACAAATGAGGAAAATGAGGTGCCCAGAGTTTATATAATTTACCTAAGACTACACAGCAATGGAACCAGGATGCAAACCCATGTTTATTTGATATGAATACAGTGTGCTTTCAACTACCTACCATGTATCATTTATGTGAAATATTTTTTTGCCAGATATTCATACTTACAGTCTTCTTATCCATACATGATGTCACTCAGTAAAAGTGAGAAGGATTTGCTTCTCCAAAACGTTTTACTTAATTTCAGGTTCTGTAACATCATTCTTTCAAACATGAATTAGGGATTGAAATCAGGGGTTAACTTTTAATAATAATAATCAGTATTTTTGTTGTTGTTGTTAAGTGCTAGCAAGTCAGTTCTGACTCATAGCAACGCTGTATAGGGTTTCTGAGGAGCAGTTGGTGGTTTTGAACTAAGACCTTATGGTTCGCAGTCCAGTGCTGATCCTTCAGTGCCACACCAGGAGTCCAGTAGTCAATATGAATAATCTTTTAACAAGATATAAAAGTGTTTATATTTTATATGATTCTAATATAGTAAGTATTATTTTGGCAATGGTTTAAAGTATAGAACCCACAGAGCTACTTCTTCTACTGTTTATAGATAGAATTGTATGCCAATCATACGTTCCAGCATAGAGACCTAGAGGCTGCTTTTCAGAGGGCCTCCTGAGGGCCTCTGCAAGGGGCCTCACACCTGAATGTGAGACCTTCTTTTTCCGCAGATTCAAGCTGACGCTCCATGGGAGGCTCCGCACGCTGACGAATGGGACAGGATGACGATGAAAGATCTTATCGATAAAATCTGCTGGACCAAGTAAACTGAGCTATTTCAAATTTCATTTTTCTCCATCATTCTTATCCCATCTGTATTGGGCTCTAGTGTTTGTCTTCATAACTTATAAGAAAAAAAAGTTAATGGGAGACCTCATGACTTTACAGTCAGCAACAACTTTGAAGGCACTTTAGACATTTCAGAGCAAGTCTGAGCCCAAAAAGAATCTATTACGTATGAATAACAGTAGATGAATGAAATAAAACTCCTTTCAATGAAAGAATCATGGGATCTGTAATAAAATAAGTAATTGTATATTCATATTATAGAGAAGTCAGCTACAGGTGTGGTTTGGAAAAAGATTTAAAAATTAATTCTATATAGATATTATTGAGAAATATGAAATTGAAGGAAAGCATCTTGTTAAGTGCCATTGAGTCAGTTCTGACTCATAGCGACCCTGTATAGGGTTTCCGAGGAGCAGCTGGTGAGTTTGAACTGCCAACCTTGTTTGCAGTCCAGTGCTTATCCTACAGTGTACCACACCAGGAGTCCTGAAGGAAAGTTAGTGTTAATTAATTTAAAAATGTAAACTACTTGATGTTTTCAATTAGAATCCATGTTATTAGTTTAGTGACTGGCAGTTCATTCATTGAGTCAGCACGTATTTCTTTCATTCTGCAGGCACTGAGGGACAGTGGTGAACTTGGTAGGCATGGCCCCCTCCTTCATGGAGTTTATATTCTTCTAGCAAGTGAGACTGATGTAGCACGCACTATTACATAATGCTAGGAGAGTACCTGCAGCGAGGAGAACATGACCTGGTGTGAGGGTCAAAGAGGGTTTCCTTGACCAAGTAATCTTTAAATAAAAATACTTAAGGACATCAACTTAGCACTGAGGCATAGTGACTGGGGAGAGTCAGGGAAAGGTGGGTGGTGTGGGAGGATGATATATTTCCAGGCAGAGACGGCAGATTACGACTTATACTTGTTGTTGTTAAGTGCTATTGAATAAGTTCCAACTCATAACGACCCTGAATAGGGTTTCTGAGATGTGGCTGGTGGGTTTGAACCATCGACCTTGTGGTTCAGGGCATGATCCTGCAGTGCCACACCAGGACAATATATATACTAAGGCCCCCGAAATAGGAAGGAGATTGGCATGTTTTAGCAACTTAACGGATAGTGTGCTTGCACTATCGAGATGATTCTAGCAAGTGGTGTTAAGGAGAGGTTGGAGAATTGGGCAAAAGGCATAGGATTTATGGATACATTCAAGGTGTTGAGCTTTCTCCATTGAAAGCCATTGGAGTGTTTTAATCAGAGGATTGAGGAGCTTTGTACTTTGAAAAGACCTTTTGTTGTAGTCTGAAGGAGGTTAGAAAGGGGGATGGATGTAGGATGACCATTTAGGATTCACCACTGTTGTAGCTCAGATGAGGCACAGTAGTACCTTGGACTAGGGCAAGGCAGATGGAAAGAAGATCAGTGTTAAAATGAATGGGCATAAATATCTCCGCTCACCACAGACAAGCTTATTGCCCTCTTAGACTGCACTGGGGAAAGCAATGTAGAGCAGGGGGACACTTTATTTTCTCCAAGAGTTCAAAAAATTGCATTGCTTTGGAAATTGAACCTGGCAGTTTTTTTCAAAGACAATAGAAAAAGTCTCTAACCGTATGAGCTTATGTTTGTAAAATATGTTATAGTACTGTTAAACATGTATATATTTGCACCTGACCTCCATTCTTATTCTGTGAACAGGACTGCTAGGCAGTTTGCTTATCTCTTTGTGAATATCAATGTGACCTCTGAACCACATGAAGTTTCTGCCCTGTGGTTTCTGTGGTATGTGAAGCAGTGCGGGGGCACCACTCGAATCTTCTCAGTTACCAACGGGGGCCAGGTATGGAGTGTCCATGCAGAAACTAACTCAATTTGTGATCTTATTCTCACCTCAAGCAGTGTCTTGACAATTACTTCGGTATTTTGAGACAAATAATTAGCAACTTGAAATGCTCTTAGAAAATTTTTTTTTTTTTATCATTTCACTTTCTTGTTCTTGAAAATGATATCACAGCTAAAGAATAGTTGATTTAGAATTGATTAGGTTTAGAAATTAAGTGCTTTCCTTTTGAAGGTAGTTATTAAGTTAGGTTATTTATGCAGGAGAAGCTCAGTTCTTTAACTAATTTCCCCTCAGTTTTAATACGTAAGATTTTTGTACTGACAGGCATCTCTGTTCCGAACATGAGACTTTTTGTCCCATCTGTTTCTTAGAGTTTATCTGTTATAAAATGGAGGTGATTGGGCTTTCTTCTAATTCATACTTGTGTGACTTATAGCCACTCTTTTGATAGGTAATTCTGTATTTTGGATATATAATTTTTGCTCCTTACTTGCTTTTGTATGGATTCCATACCACTTTCATTACTAATGGTTGAGTTCATATGGTCAACAAAGCCCAGAGACTTTGGCTGGATGCCCAGAAAACCAATGTTGTTGTTGTTAAGTGCCTTCAAGTTGATTCGGACCCATAGTGACCCTGTATGGGGTTTCTAAGGAGCAGCTGGTAAGCTTGAACCACTGACCTTTGCAGTTCAAACGACTTTGCAGTCTGACGCATTAGCCCGCAGCACCACACCAGGAAACCAGAAGTTAAGTCAAAATCCTAATTAACTGATTTGCCAGATTCAGAAATTCTTTTTTTCGAGACTGTTCTTTACCCCCCATAAAAACCCACTGTCACCAAGTTCATTCTGACTTATAGCGACCCTATATGGTGATGGTTGTTAAGTGTTGTCAAGTTGGTTCTGACTCATAACGACCCTATCTAGGGTCTCCAAGGAGTGGCTAGTGAGTTTACACTGCTGACCCTATGTAGGATTTCTGAAACTGTAAATCCTTATGGGAGCAGACAACCTCATCTTTCTCCTGTGGAACAGTTGGTGCTTTTAAACAGCCGGCCTGTAGTTAGCAGCTTAGTGCCAAACCATTCGGGCTCCTTACCCAAAGAGACCACCACTCATCTGTCAGTTTGTTGTACTGTTGTGGCTTGTGAGTTGCCATGATTCTGGAAGCTATGCCACAGGTATTTTAAATATCAGCAGGGTCACTCACAGTGGACAGGTTTCAGATGAGCTTCCAGACAAAGACAGACTATGAAGGAGAGATGGGTTGTATTCTTTCACCATGCTTATTCAACTTATTCAACCTCTATGCAGAGCAAATAATCCAAGAAGCTGGGTTATATGAAGAAAACCGTGGTATCAGGATTGAAGGAAGACTCATTAACAACCTGCGATAGCTGAAAGTGAAGAGGACTTAAAATACTTACTGATGAAGATCAAAGACCATAGCCTTCAATATGGATTGCATCTCAGTGTAAAGAAAACAAAAATCCTCACCACTGGACCAACAAACAACATTGTTATCAAGAGAGAAAACATTGAAGTTGCTAAATACTTCATTTTGCTTGGATCAACCATCAATACTCATGGAAGCAGCAGCCAAGAATTCAAACGATGTATTGCATTAGGCAATTCTGCAGCACAAGACATTTTTAAAGTGTTGAAGAGCAAAGATGTCAGCTTGAGGACTAAGGTACACCTGACCCAAGCCATGGCATTTTCAGTCACCTCATATGCATGCGAAAGTTGGACAGTGAATAAGGAAGACCATAGAAGAATTGATGCATTTGAGTTATGGTGTTGGAGGAGAATATTGAAAGTGCCATGGGCTGCCAAAAGAACCAACAGATCTGTGCTGGAAGAAGTGCAGCCAGAGTGCTCCTTGGAGGCCAGGATGGCCAGACTTTGTTTCTCCTACTTTGGACATATTGTCAGGAGGGACTAGTTGGTAGAGGGTCAGAGAAAAAGAGGAAGACCCCCAGCGAGATGGATTGGCAAACTGGCAGCATCAATGGGCTCAAGCATGGCAACAATTGTGAGGTTGGCCCAGGACCAGGGCAGAGTTTTGTTCTGTTGTGCATAGGGTCGCTATGAGCCGGTACTGACTCGATGGCACCTAACAACAACAACCTAAAAAAGGGAATATTTATTTCCTAGGAATATTTTATCAGAATGGGATTTAATTAGTAGCAGTTTACTTAAATTCTGCTATGTTCCCTATGTCCCAGAATTCTGAGTGTATCCTAAGTGCAAAGTCTAGAGTGTACACTAAGTGAACAATCCCTTTCCTAAGATCTCGAGAAGTCCTCCAGTTATTCTTGTATCTCCAAGTGTTATTGGCCATGTGAACATTGTCCAGTGCAGGACAGTTGCATTTTTTTATTAAGTGCCTTTATTTATAGGCAGAAATCCTACATTATGCCTATTAACTAGTGTTTTACTTTCTGAGGTACCTTGACTCATATCTGATACTCGTAGCCTATATTTGGAGTCCCTGGGTAGCAAAACAGTTATGCACTCAGCTACTAACTGACAGCTTACTAGTTCAGAACTACTCAGAGGCACCTTGGAAGAAAGACCTGGAGGTGTGCTTCTGAAAGATCATAGCCATGAAAACCCTAAGGAGCATCTTACATATGGGGTTATCATGAGTTGGAATGAGCTTGATGACAACTGATTTTTTGTTGTTTGTTTTTATCCTTTATTCAGAGTATTGGGAATACTTCTAGCCAAACGCTACATGAGCTTTTCAGAAACCACAGTACACTTGCAGCTCTAAAACCTTTATCTTGATATCTTTATTAAGAACTTTGAGTTACCTTTTAATAATTTCATTCAACAATTACTAGACATGAAAGAGGGTGGTCAATGAATAAAGTCAAAACAAATCATGTTATTTCCACTATACCAAAGTCTAAAAGAACTCTTTGAAAATGTAAGTCAGATTATAAATTAAATGATTCTAGTTTCTTGAGAATGAACAAATCGTGAATTTTTATGTCTCAACTGCTGTTGTTGTTAAGTGCTATAGAGTCTGTTCTGACTCAGTGACCCTGTATAGGGTTTCCAAGGAGCAGCTGGTGGGTTTGAACTGGCAACCTTGTAGTTCGCAGTCCCGTGCTGATCCTACAGTGCCAAACCAGGAGTCCTTAACTGCTGTAGGAATTACTTTATAAAGAACCTTTATAATAACCAGCTGTAAAGGTATTTGTGGTTCAAACTGACTTTGCAGTCTGGCATATTAACCCACAATGCCACACACACAGCTGCTTAAAAGTATTGCTTAAAATATGCTACTGTCTACAGCCTTACCTGCTCGGACACTTATAGCCCATGGCTGTGAGAAGCTAAGGAACATCAGAAACTGCATCCCCTTGGAGAAGTGCAGTAGTCTCCCTTTCCCAGGCCTCTCCCTCCATGTACTGCACACCTAGGCATTCAAAACCCAAAGATTTACTGATATTTTCATTTGGGCAGGATGTCAATGACAGTGGTGTAATTGAACATTTCCTCTGGTTCTGTGATTTTATAAACTAGTAATGATTTTCACTGCTGGAAGTCAAACAGAGAATAATTTTGGTGTCTTGGCCAACTCTGCTTTTATTCTCATGAAGATTCCAATGCTAAGTTTACAGAAAGTGAAGGTACTTCCTGAAGGTTGTTCTGAACAGTGACAAATATTATGATTTTCCTTTCTTGGGCTTTAATAAATTTCCTTTTCCATTTGCCTCTTTCCTGTAGGAGCGCAAGTTTGTAGGTGGGTCTGGTCAGGTGAGCGAGAAGATAATGGAACTTCTTGGGGACCAAGTTAAGCTGAGTCAGCCTGTCAGCTATGTTGACCAGTCGGGCGACAACGTCATCGTAGAAACATTAAATCATGAAGTGTATGAGGTAATTCAATTTCGTTAAAAGGAGTATTTATTAAATAGGCTTTATATCTTCTTCTGCAGCTTTTAACCAAACAGAATCCAACCGGTGGCAGAATTAATGCTAGTGTGTTAGTTTGGGCTTCCAGTTACCAGCCTTGGTTAACTTGCTATGTTCTGTTTTATTGACTCACAATTGCTTCGTTTTGTGTGTTGTTGTTGCTCTGTGTTGTTCCAAGTAATAAGGATGAGGTTTCAGCCACTTTACAAAGACTCACCATTTGAAGTGTCATTTTGTGTCTCTGTGTTATAGTGCAAATATGTAATTAGTGCCATCCCACCAGCCTTGACTTCTAAGATCCACTTCAAACCAGAACTGCCACCAGAGAGAAATCAGTTAATTCAGCGTCTTCCGATGGGATCTATCATTAAGTGCATGATGTATTACAAGGAAGCCTTTTGGAAGAAAAAGGGTAGGATGCTCTTGTTTATATTTAAACTATATGATGTGAAGGAATCGCACTATACTCTTTTAAGAACATTATGCCAGGCACTAGACAGAAAAAGATGATGTTTTCATATTGGTAAAGAGAAAAGATGAGGAATCTTAGTCTGTAGCTTTCCTGGTATCTCCTGGTAACACAGAGTGTTCCAGTGAGGAACAGGAAAAGAGCACCCCAACTTCAGGACCTCCATTGCCCTAGCTTCTTTGCCTAGAGGCGCCTTTGAAGTCAGACATTCCTGGACTTCACTGGGTGACATCAGGTGGAAGGCAAGATGCTTAATACCTCCCAGGATCAGTCTCTTAGTGTAGAGTGGGGACACTGACATTTGCTGTCTCATTTACAAGAAGTAACTGAGGCGGTGGCCGGGACGTAGTAGGCTCTTGGGATACAGGGACTACTGTTAACAAGCCTTCTGTTCATGGTCATGGGATTCCTTGCCACCACACCTTCTATCAGTTGACAAAGTAATTTCCTTTAATATATCCCCTCTTGTTTCCCATGTACGCTAGAATTCCAGAACTGGCTTACCATTTTGTTATATATTGGTCATCAGACCATAGAAGATGGATCATTTTCCATGTGTCTGCATGAGTAACCATCCTTGTATTTTGAGTGTGTGTTTAATAGAGAATAGTGTTTGGGCTGGAGGGAAAAGTTTAAAGTTTGCCTTCTTTGTAGTAAAATAGTTGGTGGTTAGGTATGTGTGTGTGCATGTGTATATATAGTTAAAGGATCTATATATATATATATATGAAGAGTGTGGTCTCATTCATCTATGGATTCTCTCCTGGTTAAGATTTCTGTGGCTGTATGATCATTGAAGATGATGAAGCTCCAATTTCAATAACCTTGGATGACACCAAGCCAGATGGATCCCTGCCTGCCATCATGGGGTAAGTTAGAACTGGGTGCTTTGCATTTTCCAAATTGTGTGAGAGTGCTAGTGTGGGTGCTAACAGAGAACATCATTTTGGAATCAAGCTATGGCTAGGATAAAATATGAAAATACATCATATTTTTGTGTATTTAAATAGTGCTGTAATGTTTTTTTTTATATGACACAAGAATCCTTGGAAGCTTTCCTAAAATGGATGCCATTTCACCCCAATAAAATTTGTGTGTTGAGGACGGAGTGAAAACGCATCTAGATAGGCAGTATAGTGGATAACTCTGTCAAGAGGCACAAGGTCCCACGACCATTCTGGAGTGAAAAGTGTTTTAACCTGTAAAACCTTTAGACTTTAGGGTTTCTAGGCTTTATCTTCTTATCCATTGCAAACATTTGCTAAATAACAAATGTCACTTTCCATGAGAAATAAGACGTATGACCGGTTAGGAGTCACATTTCTAAGTCAAACAGGTATGAGTGGATGGCACTTTTTCTGGTAGGTCACTATGCAGCTCTCCTTGAACAGCATTAGTCCCCATACCCTCTGAAGGACAGGCTGGAGCTGGGCGTGGGTCGGTGTGAGGAGGAAAAGAGCCCTTTCCCTTTCCTTCCATTCCTATTTGGTTCTGACTCATAGCAACCCTCTATAGGGTTTCCGAGGAGCAGCTGGTGAGTTTGAACCGCAAGGTTCAAAGTGACCTTGCATTCCAGTGCTTTTCCTATATAGCGCCACACCAGGACTCCTCAAAAACCATACAAATAAAGCAGTTATTTGCTCTACCACATTGTCCACAAAAGAACACAGCTTCTGTAGCAGGCAAGTAACTGAGTGGTTGGTGATTTTCCCCTTCACCTCTGGAAAATGCATACCTAATGATTTTTTAGGGGGAGAGGGGTGAGTTGAGTTTATGAGCATTGTATCATTGAAGAAAATGTAGCAGACCCATGTCCCAGAGGACTTTAAAAGTGACTGTGCCACTGGGCTGCAAACAAAATATTCTATGACCACATCTCTAGATATGAAATAGAGGAAATAGCACTAACCTGCCTGCAAAAGCCAGAAGCTTGCAACGTAATAACCATAGAAACAGCACATTCTCTCCATCTCTAACCCCACTGGGCAAGAAAGAATACAAGTTGCTTTGGCATTTAGACACCACTCTGTACACTAAAAAGGAAAGCTACGATGGTAATGTTTTGGTGTTCAGAATGTGCCAGTCAAGACCAATCCAATTGTGGATGGAAGAACATTGATGTTTTTCTTGCCCTGGGAGTGAGATATAGAGGCAGTCTGCCCCTATAGGAAGGCCTTCCTTTGCTTTATTACTAGGACATTGTATGATAGTATCATTCTAGATATTAATGGCATTATTTAGGTAGTTCCATGAAAGTGATATTGTAATCTGTTTTATATGCAAAGATGCCTCCACCTTGCTCTTTGTTCTTGTTGATGAAAGCCTTGAGATAGGGAGAATAATTACCCAGCATGCTGTTTGTGATAACTATTGCCTTTTGGAAACTGGAAAGGGCCTTGTACTTTAGAACTGTGGCATGTATGTAGCACAAAACCAGTGTGTGAATTTCCTCAATAAAACACCAAAGAAAGTTCAAGAATATTTATCCAAGGTTATATATAGTTAAACCAAAGAGATTATGTTGTTTATGGTTTGAGATTTGACAGAAACAGCGAGACCTTTGACAAAAGAACTGTAAAAAATGCACAAGATGAGTTCACTAAAAGATTTCCAGATAAATTATTTTAATCTTTCATCACATATTGATTTTCATTTCAATGCTGCATAAATCTAAAATTAGTGAATCTTATATAAACATAACTTTAGCTAAAATCATTAGTAGCAAGCTGCAACATATGTGTTGAATAAAGTAATATTAGGAGTATATCCCATAAAGTCTAATAATTCAGAAATTTTTAAATCAATAATCTACATACAGCTTCTTCTGAAATACTTTCCCCTAGATTAGGACAGATATCTTTTGTCTCTTCGCCTTCCCAGGTGATCTTGAGTAATAGTCCTAAAACAATTACCAAACTGAGGAATAGTTCATTGGGACAGGAAGGGAGATATCTATTTTCAGTCCTTATACAGGAGATTTTAAAATGTCCGTGGAAAAACATCATTATCTTTAATTCCATTTTCCATGAACTTTTTGAAGCTCCCTCGTATTTTCATTCCTGATATACCTTTTTGCTCTTTTTGTTGTTGTGTTCTGTTGAGTTGGTTCTGATTCATAGCGAACCTTTATAGGGTTTCCAAGAGTGGCTGATTAGCTGTCGACCTTGTGGTAAGCAGTTGAGTGCTTATCCTACAGCACCACACCAGGGCTCACTTTTTGCTCTAAAACAAACAATGCACTTTTAAAACTTTTTAAATGGAGAAATAATTTCATTTTCCATTGGCTCATTTGGATTTTTTTTAAAGGTTTCTGATGATAGAATAATCCCAGACTTCATGTCACAGCTCTTTAAAATATACATGAAATTAGTGGTATCATTGTAGAAGAGACTCTGAAAGTTGCTCTTGAACACAAAGTAGCTAAAGGAAACAGAAATGATGACGTAAATATTTCAAAATCCAGCTCAGTAAGACATAGTATTATAACGAAATGTGAAAAGATCTGGAGTTAGAAAAGCAGAAGGAAAGAATGTGATTCCACTTCTCAAGCTGAACAAATTTTAAGTCTCCAGTTGCAATATTGAATGATTTTATGGACAAAATATTGAATGACAGAGGAATTGTTGAAAGGAGATAGAATACTAAGGTGCAACTATTAGTCTCTCTCTATGCAGAAAAAAGAATAGTGATGAAAATTGAAGACACTTAGAATTATTCAGTTCAGTGCACTAATGGAGCACAGAAACATCAGTCTCCATGACCCTGAGACCAGAAGTACTAGATGGTTCCCAGCTACCACCACCAACTGCTCTGAAAAGAATTATACAAGAAGATCCTGCATAGAGTGGGAGAAAGTGTGGAACAAAAAAAAAAAAGACTAGGCTTATTAGTCAGAAAGAAACTGGAGGAACTGGAGACTATGATCCTCAGCTACCCTTCAAATCTGGAACTGAACTCACCATCATGGTCCAGTTCTCATCCAAGCCATAAATAAGTATTTAGGAGGGGCAACAGTATTGGTTAGGTATGCTAACCATGGAATGGTCAACATTCAAGATCAAAAGGGCAACATATACCAAGGACAAAGTTCAGGACAAACCTTGTGTTTAAGTAAATGTTGCCCTTTTCATCTTGAAGTGTTGGGAAGGAGGGTGGAATGGAAATAAGAACCATGGGAAAGAAGTTGGATAATTATTGTTATGTAGAGGGGATTGCAATCATTGAGATGATGCAAACTGTGTGATTTGTTGAATGCAAAACTTCTCGTCTGCTCTGTAAACCTTCACTGAATTCACAATAATAAGTTTCAAAAGAAATAAAAAAGATGCAAGAGTCACTGTATGAAAAAGAATTAGTCAACCTTCAACCATTTGAGGAGGTAGCATTTGAGCAAGAACCAATGATATTGAAGGAAGGTCAAGGTACACTTAAGACATTAGCAAAATATAAGGCTCAAGAACAGACAGAATGCTAATTGAGGTGTTTCAATAAATGGATGCAAACTAGACTGGAAGAGCTAAGAAATTTGAAAGACAGCTACCTGACCAGCCAACTGGAAGAGATCCAAATTTGTGCTCATTCCAAAGAAAGGTGATTGAATAAAATGTGCAAGTTAGCAAACAATGTCATTAATGTTGAAGTAAGTTTCAACTCATAGCGACCCTGTGTAGGGGGTTTTCCACTGGCTCATAATCCAGTGCTTATCCAACAGCTCCACAACAGAAGTCCATGCCGACAGGTGTTGTTGTTGTTATTGTTAAGTGCCTTTGAGTTCCAACTTATAGCCACCCAGTGTAGGGTTTCCAAGGAGTGGCTGGTGAGCTTGAACCACTTGAACCGCTAACCTTGCGGTTCAAGTCGACCTTGCAGTTCAGTGCATTAACCCGTTGTTGTTGTTAAGTGCCGTCGAGTCGGTTCCAACCCATAGCGACCCTGTACAGGGTTTCTGAGGCTGTAAATCTTTATGGGAGCAGAAAGCCTCATCTTTCTCCCGCGGAGCAGCTGGTAGTTTCGAACTGCTGGCTTTGCCCGTAGTTGGCACAAATTCAAGCTGGATTCAACAGAGGACATGGAATAAGGGATATTACTGCTGATGTCGGAAAGATATGAGCTGAAAGCACAGAATACGAGAAAGATGTTTGCCTGTGTTTTATTGACTATGGAAAAGTGTTTAACTGAATCATAACAAATTATGGATAACATTTCAAGGAAAGAGAGTTCCAGGACCCTTATGCTCATGCAGAACTTTTACATAGACCAAGCGGCAGTCATTTGAACAGAACAAGGGATACTCAGTGGTTAAAATCAAGAAAGGTGTGCCTTACAGTTGTATCCTTTCACATGTTGAGCAAATAATCCAAGATGCTGGACTATATGAAGAAGAGTGTGCCATCAGGATTGGAGGAAGACTCATTAATAATCATCACATCCGGGTGGCACAACCTTGCTTGCTGAGAACAAGAAAGAATTGAAGTATGTACTGAAGAAGATCAAAGCCTTCTGTATGTAGTACATCTCAGCGAAGGGAACAAAAATCTTCACAAGTGGGCCAATAAATACCATGATAAACAGAAAAGATTGAATTTGCCAAGTATTTTATCTTACTTGGATTTGCAATCAACTCCAATAGAAGCAGCAGTTAGGAAATCAATCAGTGTATTACATTGGGCAAATCTGCAGAAGACCTCTTTAAAATCTTAGGAAGCAAAGATATTACTTTGAGGACCAGATGCACCTGACTCGTATCATGGTAATTCCATTTGCCTCACATTCATGCGAATGCTGGACAATGAATAAGGAAGACTGGATAGCTTTGAATTATAGTGTGAGAAAGGAATAATGAATATACCATAGGTAGCCAGAAAAAAAAAGAACAAATCTGTCTTGGAGTTAGTGCAGTCAGAATGCTCCTTAGAATCAAGGATGAGACTTCATCTTATATACTTTGAACATGTTATTAGGAGGAACCAGTCAGTCCCTGGAGAAATACATCATGCTTGATAGTCATCTGCAGAAGAGAAGAATGTCATGAATGACCAGATCACACCGTGGCTGTGACTCTGGAGTCAGACAGAGCAGTGGTTGTGAGAACGGCACAGGACTGGGCGGTCTTTTGTTCTGTTGTACATATGATTGCTATGAATCTGAACATAACTTGACAGTACCAAACAACAACCTTTGATTAAAAGGATACATACTTATTGTCACTGATTGTACTGAATTACTTTATTTGTGGATTTTGTTCAGTCCGTTCCCAGGAATCAGACTTTGAGGTGGAATTTAGGGGGCAGTAGGTTTATTGCGAAGTGCTCACCTGTGAGAGAGAGAGAGAGAGAGAGAGAGAGAGAGAGAGAGAGAGAGAGAGAGAGAGAAGGAAGCAGGATCAAGCCGATAGAGAAGTTAGACTGCAATGTTATCCTACCAAAGGCCTCAGCTATCCCATGAGGAGCACTGGAGCTGGGATGGCCTTCAGAGATATCCATAGTTGAGAAAAGGGTCTGACTTTTTATGTATCTACTCCACCCTAGGTTTAATCACTGGGTGAGGATTACCACTGGGAAAGGGCAGGACTCTGAGCAAGGCAGATCTGGGGTGCAGAATGCACCTGTGAGAGAATTATTCTGTTTCCAACTAAGGATCCTGAGATTGCCTTGGTCCTGAAGGCATCTGGTTGGTACACCCTGACATCTACTACTGGCATGCACTTAAATGTTTGCCTTTCCAGCTTTAATAAAGTACTTGGGAGAAGACAAATAATACAGCATACATTTGTCACACATTTAGTTTTCTACCATATGCCAAAAACCGTACTAAACTTTGGGGATAAACTATAGACTGAGAGTTCACTTCTCACTTCAGAGTCAACAATATAGCAGGGATTTGGGACACAGAGGCAAACTGAAGAAAAAAACATGGATCTGCTCTCAAAGAGAGAAATGCTGGGCAGGCCTGGAGAGAAGAGCTCATTAATGCAGAGTGGGATGAGGCAAGAATACTTTCGAGACCAGGGGCTGTAAATTGACTATTCAAATGTAACCTCTCTCCCCAGCTTCATCCTTGCCAGAAAAGCACATCGCTTTGCCAAAGAGCCTAAAGAAACAAGGTAAGAATTTGTTTTTGAAAAATATACAAAATGATAGCTTGGCATTATATGTGTTACACTAACAGCAGTATAATAGCATTATGAAAACCCCAATAATACACTAATATCCTTGAAACCCCAACAAACAGCCCCTTTTTGTATTTTGGTATGGCCTGCTTGACCCAGTCCATTTCCATATGCACATATTCATTTAATTTTACATATTTTTATCCATTTTACAATGGTTGAGAGGGCAGGTTTCTCTGGAAGATGGAGGGAGAAAAGACATAGGAAATGTTAGCTGTGGAAAGAGCTTTAGAGGCCTAGTCCTGATCCCCTTGCAAGTCTGTTATGGCTTTTTGAAAGTTCTCTGGCATATATTGTTTTCTAAGACTATCCATCTATATGAATTTTATCTTAAAGCAACTTTTGCACATAAAAGTAACCAACACCAATGATCTAGGGCATACAATTGGTTTTCCCTTTTCTGAGATCCTCCGAATCTAAAACAGTTATTTATGCATAGCTCTTCCTTTTTTTACCCTGTTCTCTCTTTTGGCCTTGCTATATTTGTTTTATTTTGCCTTGGAATCTTTTGTTCAAATAATATTTTACCTGGAAGGATTGTTGTTATTCTTGTTAAGGGCCATCGAGTCATTCTGACTAATAGCGACCCCGTGTAGGGTTTCCCAGGAGTGGCTGGTGAGTTTGAGCCACTACTCCTATGTAGTTAGCCTGGTCCCACTCACCACCACCACCACCCCGTCCCCAGTACAGGAGGCCTGGACTGACCTGTAAGCCCTGGTATACTTCCCACCCCCCCATGAGGCACAAGAGGCCCACTCTCAGATGCAAACCTGGCCTCAACCATAGCCCCCTCTCAGAGGTGCAGGCTGCTCACACTTGCACTCCCAAGCCTGGCCACACTGCCATACTCACCACCCCCTCCCTGAGGCACAGGTGGCTCACACTTACCCACACAAGCCCGACCCTACCCATGACCGCCTCCCGAGGTACAATCTGCTCACACTTACCTGGGTAAGCCCACACCCCCACTCAGAGATGTAGGCCCCAACCACCCAGCAACCAACTGTAAAAGCATACAGCACCCAACTCAGTGACCAGCAAGAACACTCCATTCACCCACACTCAACAATTCCTGCAGGCCATCTGCACTTGCACAAACTCACTTTACTATTCTGCATAGTGGGCCTACCCCATCTTTTTGGGCAGCATATATTCTCAGCAGATACGAACATAGCCTGCACTGAGCTTCAGAGACCCCACTAATTGCAAGCACCAACCCAGAAGGAACTCTGGTCCCACAAGGACTTTCGATGGACCCTAATCACCTAACACTTGTCATCAGACATCAGGGAAAGAACCTGCTCCCATACCTCTACTCAGTCCAGTAACAGAAGACAACAGAGCCTATACAAAAACAACTAGAAATCCAGAAGATTAGCAATAAAATATCAGAAAAGGGTAGCACAATAGAAAGATATTGAAGTAGAGTTGAATCAATGTTAGAAAGAATCAATGAAGTACAGGGTAAATCCTTTGATACCAGTTTATTTGAAGAACAGTAAAAACAGAATGAGGGAAAATGAAGAAAGACTGAGAGTTAGAAGGGACACCAACATGAGGAATAATTTACGCAGAATAGGGTTGATAGAACTAGAGGAGAAAAAAAGTACAGAGAGAATGTTTGAAGATCTATTAGCAGAAAACTTTCCAAATATGAAATATGAGAAGGGTTATGCCCAGAAGCTCAAAAATCCCATACAGGATAGACTGTAAAAGAAATACCTAGATATATCATAATCAAACTTTATAAAACCAAAGACAACTCTGAGAGCAGCTTGTGAAAACCAAAATATTACCTACAGTTGTTGTTGTTATTAAGTGCTGTCGAGTCAATTTCTACCCATAGCGACCCTGTTATAGGGTTTCCAAGGAGCAGCTGGTGAACTTGAACCACCGACCTTGCAGTTCAAACGACTTTGCAGTCTGACACATTAGCCCACAGTGCCACACCAGGACTCCATTACCTACAGAGGAGCACCAGAAAGTTCTGGTTTCCTGGCAAAAACCATGAAGGCAAGAAAACAGTGGGATGACATATAAGAGTCTTCAAAACGTTTGTGAAAGAATTTCATTCTCTATTTTGTTTAAGCTTTTATTGTGAATTTAGTGATAGTTTACATGGGAGAACATCGGTTTTGCACTCATCCTATCGTGTTTTGTTTCATTGCAATGATTACAATCCTCTCAATGCATCATCATTCAACAGTATTTGCTTCTATTTCTTCTGGGTGATTTTTTTTTTTTGTGTGTGTGTGTGTGTGTGTGTGTGTGTACACAAAAACACTCAGGAATTTATAATCATTTAAACAACGAAAGGGCACATTCTGCAAGTTAGCCTCCTGGCCACCAGCACACAGCCTTTCTCTTCCCATGAGTCTAGAGTCCTCAGCTGCTCTATCTTTCCACATCATCTTCTCTGCCTCCATCTCTGACATCACTGCTTCTCTGGTTAGAGTCCCTTCCATTGTCTTTTAATTCCATTTTCCCATAAATGTTTTGAAGGTCCTTGTATATAAAAACTAGAGGGAATATAATTGCCAATCAAGGCTCATAAATAGGATCATAAAATTAGAATGTTCCCATGTAAGCAAAATTAAGGAAATTTATACAAACCAGACTAACCTTATAAACAATAGTACAGAGTCCTTTGAACAGACAATTAATAGCATCAGAAATGTTGTTGTTGTTAAGTGCTGTAGAGTGGACAGGGTTTCCGAGGAGCAGCTGGTGAGCTTGAACCGCCAACCTTGCAGTTCAAATGGCTGTGCAGTCTGGTGCATTAACCCACAGTGCCACACCAGGACTCCAAGCATCAGAAACAGGTTGAGATTAACACACATGACAGCATCATCCAGTTACCAACCCAAACCAAGAATTTTCAAAAGGAAAATAAAGCTGCAAAACTAAAAGCAGGGAACCAGAGAGGTCAGTCTGTAAATGATTAAAAATTCAGAACAAAGGGGAGAATAAATGGTGTGGTTATACAATATCCACATGGAGAGAAAGTCAACGTGCTATCAAGATAATAGAGTAAGTCAAAAGTACCGCTGCAAAATCATAGATACATTTATTGAACAAAAACATCCAAATGTGAAGTTACTGCTTCATGATGTATCCTCCAGCTAGATGTATACACTTCTAAAGATGTTATTTCCATTTCTCTAACTCCTGGACTTTGAACCACCTGGCCAGCAGTTCAAACCCATCAGCCGCTCCTTGGAAACAGGGTTGCTATGAGTCAGAACTGACTTGATAACACTAACAACAACAACCCTTCTTCAGAGGATTATACAGTCTTGGATTTACACTAAGTCATAATGGCTGTTTTGTTGGCATCCTTGCACTCCAATTGTGTTTTTTAAATGTTCTTTGACTTTGGGCCAAAAAAAGAAAAGAAAAGCTTTTTTTGTTGGTAAGTGCCCTGGAGTCTGCTTCAACTTACAGTGACCATGTATAGGATTACCATGGTGCTGCTGGTAGGTTTGAACTGATTGCTTTGCAGTTAGCAGTCCAGTGATTACCCCACAGCATTACACCATGTTTCCAGCATTAACATATACCACTTTTGATGGGCAAAATAACTAGCAAGTAACTCAATAAAGATACAAAAGATTTAAATAATACCATCAACCAACTTGACCTCAGACTCATATGTAGTGCACACCACCGAACAGCAGCATAATACACATTCTTTACTAAGGCACTTCGGACATTCTCTAATATAGACCATATTTTAGAATCATAAAGCAAATGCCAATAAATTAAAAAACATTAAAATAATACAGAGCATCTTCTCTGATCATAATACTGTAAAACTAAAAATCAGTAACAGAACAAGAAAAAAAAAATAACATGGAAACTGAATAACCCTGTATTTAAAGACTTTTGGATAGTAGAAGGAATTTAAAATTAAATTAAAAAATTCTTAGAATCAAATGAGAGTGAAAACACAACCTACCAAAACCTTGTAACACAGCAAAAGCTGAGGAGTATAATAAATGCACACATCAAAAATGAAGGAAGAGCCCAAACCCCAATTCTATCAATAGAAAAAGAGTAGTGGAAGAAATCCAAAGTCACCAGAAGAAAGGAAATAATAAAGATAAGAGCAAAGATAAATCAAATGGAAAAAAAGAAAAACAATAGAAACAACAAGACTAGAAGTAAATTAAATATATTAGCAGGCCCTTTCTTGAAGAGCTACTTTGATGATTTTGCAAGTTAGGAAAAGGCTATAGAACAAGTTCCCACATTTGCACGCAGATTTGTTTATCTGAGCTGTTATGAGACTTGATGTCAGGAAAGGAACTGTTTTCATGTCCACTTAATAGAAGAGGAATTTGGAGACAGGAAGTGATTTGTCCAAGGATCCACAGCTGGCTTGTGACAAGTCACCAGTCACGCATACTATTTCATTATACCACTTTCAGCTTGACATTTTCACTTGGATTTTCTGATCCCTGGATGTCTGAACTTTTCCAAAAGTTCTTAGAACTCTCAGTATGTCATTGACTAGAACAGCAGTTTCCAGAACCAACTATATCAAAATCTCCCAAGAAATGCCTTGTTATTTTTTCTGGTGGGTAAAAAGTGGTATTTTATTTGCCTTTTAATTTGTATTCCCCGGATTACTAGTGAGGCTGAGGTTTGGTTTGTTGGTGGTGGTTTTTTTCTAATGTTAATTTTCCATTTTAATTTCTTTTTCTTCAAATTGTCTTTTTATACCTTTTCCCTTTTTATATACCCCTGTTTTCTTTTCTTAAAAATATAAACATTTCATGAATTTGTGTATCATCCTTGCAAAAGGCCAGGCTAATATTCTGTCATTCTGATATTAATATATATGCTGCCAAAGCAAACACCCAAAGAATTTTTTGAAATTATATTTTCCTGTAGATTATGGATTGGGGCCTGAATATTTGTGTTTTTAAGTACGTTTTTAAGGTAAATGCTAGAGACCAGAGTAAATTCACCTACAGGTAATTTGAATGGTGAATTCTTTTGGCCATTGTTAAAACTATGTTCTATTATCTTTAGAGGCATACCAATCAGTGTATTGCTTCAACATCCTTCACTTACGTATCTTTTCAAAAACTTGAGTTTTAAAGGGAGGAAGTTGTTAAGTGTCATAGAGCCAGTTTAGACTCATAGCCACTTTGTATAGGGTTTCCAAGAAGCAGCAGGTGGGTTTGAACTGCTGACCTTGTGGTTCACAGTCCAGTAGAAACACTCCCTTGGCTCAATTAATAATAATGAAGTACAGTAAATTCTGACATATTTCTATTATTATTTGTGAATGAAAAATTAAGTACAGTGTAGGTAAGTATCAATTAGATTTTAGATTTCAATTGTTTAATAAATACTTTATGACTACATAACTATAACTTTAAGCATCTTTAAGCTTTTCAGAATAAAATGCTTTTCTTATTGAAAATAAAGGTTAATTTTATTTTCATATTGACTCAAAAGTCCCTGAATTATTCCTTCTAACACCCGTGTAAAGTAGGTAAGCTTCAGTCATTTCATTGTAAGTGTAGGAAAAAGGTTACCATACTAGACTAAAGATGGGTTTTGATTTCACCAAGCTTTATTGCACACCTAATATGGGCAGGATACTCAGAAGCGTAGTCTTTTAACATAAACAACTCCTTTAAAAGCCTAACTGTTCCTGACCTGGGATTTAAATACCCATGTAATCATTTGGGTGACATTGTGTCAGGAATAGCATTCATCTCTCCTTTAAAACCTTCCGTGGTAAAATGGTAGCATTAATCAGCATTTTATAATTCCATTTCCTCCTGCCTTAACATTCCATATCCATAAGAAGTTCTAGAAGTAACATAAATGGTGTAAATAAGGATTTATTTTGTTTCATTATTCAGTGAAATTGGAGATTAAAAAAAAAAAAAAGTTTGTCTAATTGTCAACATACAATTTTATCTTTTTAAATGTAGTTAGTTTATTACTGATAAGCTTGACCCTCTTCCTCCTGTACATTTGTAGTCAAAAGTTTCTTCAGCTTCTCTATTGTTTAAAATTTTGAATTAAACTATTTGTCATATTTTTTTTAGCATTTAACAAATATTTTGGAGCACTTTCAATATTTAAACTATATAAAGAGTAAATAAGGTAAATATGGAATGTATATATTATAACTGGAACACTGTGAACCTAGTCAAACAAATACTGAACTAGTACCATTAATTTCTAAAATGGATGGTCTTAGAAAACTAGAACTTTAAGCAGATTTAAAAGAAGAGTAGTTGTCCCAACTCCCCCTGCCCGGATTCAGCTAGGTTTAAATAAAACTCAAAACGCACACACAAAGAGCCTCTGTGAGCTTAAAGTCTATCTTGTTTCAAGAAGATAGACTGTGTTGAAGAGAACAGAAATTAAGCGACTGATGTTTAAGACCTAATATGTGCCCTGTTCTATACTCGTCATTTGAACAATGAATGAGAAAGCTAGTATCACATAATGCATTATACTCACACAAGTGCCCCTTACAGCACCCTACCTCTACAGACCATTCTATCAAGTGCAAGATTACTAGACTGTGTTGACCGTTGTCCTCCCTCAGCCTAGAGGCATATCTGATGCTATGCTCAAAAGATTAAATGAGCTTTGCTTTACATGTTTAGATGTTGTACTTTTATTTTTCCATGAACATTTCAAAGCCCCTTCGTATTTAGAACTCAATATAAGGTAGTTAAAAGACTCTCACCTTCATATGTACTGTAGATTGATAAAATTCACTGAATTCTGTAACTGCCAGAAAAGTGGCTTAGAGTCAGTTCCTCAAACTAAGTTTAATTTAATCTCATTTCCCCCCATTATAATCTCAGATACTGTATTGGGTAGTGAAAAAGGCATACTGTTAAGAAGAATGAAAATATCTATTGAATCAAAATATGTATTGAGGTATGGAGGGTTAATTTGAGTACAGAAATTCAAGAAACTGTAGGTTTTGTGTACTTAAGCCACTGGCTTTCAATTTTCCTTAATAAATTTGGTTCTCTGGTGAGAGCCCTGGAACCATGACTGCATGTACTCGATAGCTATCAGATATTACTTCTTTTTTTTTTTCCTGTTCTTTCCCATAGGAAGAAGAAAATCTGTGAGCTGTACGCCAAAGTACTAGGATCACCAGAAGCTTTACAGGTAAGAAGCTACCAGCTTTACTCACTAACAGGTCTAGTCTGTTTGTTCTAAGTGGAGCAGAGTCTAACTTCCTGACCTTCTTATGAACAGGTTATAAAGGGATATGCTTAACTTGAAGGTCTAACTACAGCGATTGCAAAGCCTATTAAAAACTGATGAATTGCATTGAATTTCTGATAGAGAGGTTCCTTTGGGCTGTAATACTAACTGACTAGACTGCAGCCAGTTAGACTTAGTGCCTGGATCTGCAGTTAGTAGTATCGCAAGGGTGGGTAAGATGAGTCCCCATAACAGAGTCCCCTGCCTGCTGTTCGTGAAGGCACAACAGTGTCTACCGTAAGAGGAGAGGCTGAATCTAGATTCTAGAGTCCATACTCATTTATTTTTCCCTCTATGCACTCAGTTCACAACTGATTTAAGGAATTTCATTCACTGAAATTAAGGGGCTGAAATTATTTCTAAAGCGTTTATCAGATGGCTGTGGAGGCCCTTTCAGGGCATTATCTGTGAACTATTCAAATATTAACCTTCAAAGTATGTTAGAGAAATCAAAGAAGATTCAGTCCTGTCCCTTAGGAAACAGCTCTCATCTTGTCTAGTTTTTAGCAGAATTCCCTTCATTCATTTTTACAGCTTAGAGAAGCGGTTACGAAAAATATATATATATATGTGTGTGTGTGTGTGTGTGTGTGTGTGTGTGTGTGCAATTAACTTCTGCTTTTCTCTCCCTCTCTTTCCTTGGCAATAATGTCTGTGTAGATGAGGAAGTATATTTTGTCATTTGTTCTTGGGGCTTCTTGTAGGTTTCGGTCTAAAGACTTTATCATCAATGTAGCAATATCCTTTCTTCCAGGTAATGAACCACTTCATGTCTCTTCTATGTAAGAGGTTGAGAAAATGAAATCATGGATCACTTATCACTTGGTACCTCACAAAAAGGCCATTGCTTAGTATTACCATGTTTCTTTTCAGATGAGTTAAGGGACCTCTCCCTTTTTTGTTGTGTAAACTTTTAATTAATGTAGAATGCACAGAATCCTCCCTTGTTGACTGTTAGCATTTCAGCTGTGTTTTCCCTTTGGCATTTTCTCCCCATGTAACTGCAGCCTGTGCACTACGAAGAGAAGAACTGGTGTGAAGAGCAGTACTCTGGGGGCTGCTATACAGCTTACTTTCCCCCTGGGATCATGACTCAATATGGAAGGTACTACCAGAACACTACGCTGATGAATCTAACTTAAAAGATAATCAAAGTTCAATGAGAAGTTTATAAATAGTAACCATCATTCCCGTTTCTCATGTCTCAGTCAGCTTGTCTATTTCTGGATGTCCATAGACACATATAGACTTATTGTCAGTTCACAGAACAATAGCTGAACACTTGTGAGAACTGGAGATGTCTGGAATACATGTGAAAAGGAAGCAAGCTACAGTGTCCACCAAGGGGCCTTCTTAAACTCAACTATTGCAGTCTCACTAGACTTCTGGGTACCAGTCTTCTCAGAAGGATGTAGTATAAACACAACTTACCAACTGAGCCGCAACAGAGGTTTCTCTTCAGTGGGAGGAGTCCTCGCTGTATGCAGTTAAGGTGTGAGGAGATGAAATCACACAGGGGAAAGGTGAAACCCACCTCAGTGTAAGAGCCCCATGCCTCTTGTTGTTGTGGCATCCAGCTGATTCCAACTCATAGTGACCATATGTCCAACAACCAAACATTGCTGGATCCAGCCCATTGTAGCATGCACTGTGTCAATCCATCTTATTAAGGGTCTTCCTCTTTTTTGTTAAACCCTCACTTTTACCAAACATGATGTCCTTCAGGGACTATTCCTTCAGCAACATGACCAACGTGCCTGAAACAAACTTTTACCATCCTCTATTCTAAGGAGCATTCTGAGTATACTTCTTCTAAAACCGATTAGTTCATTCTTCTGGAAGTCCATGGTTTATTCAATATTCTTTACCAACACCATAATTGAAAGTCGTCAATTTTTAGTCAGTCATCCTCATTCATTACCCAGCTTTTGCATACATATAAGGTGATTAAATACCATGGCTTAGATCAGTTTCACTTTTATCCTCAAAGTGCTTTGTAACATTTTAAAGGGGTCTGTTGCACCCTGGTCTGGCTGTAAACTAAAACACTGGACTGGTAACTACAAGGTCAGCAATTTAAACCCACCAGCCATTCTCAGAAACCCTGTACACTGTCACTGTGAGTCAGAACCTACTTGATGGTACACAACAACAACAATATTGTAACAGATTTGTCCCATACAATACCTTGTTTGATTTCTTGACAGTTGTTTCCATGGGCATTGATTATGGACCCAGGTAAAATTTAATCTTTGACTGTGTCATTTTTTCTTGATTTGTTATAATGTTGCGTATTGGTCTATGCCCTTAGAAGCCATTATCTCTTGTAACATAGTCCCTTGAAGGCATAGCATCCAGCTTCCCTACAAGAGATATACCCAATTACAAGAGTCATCACACTTAGAGAAGCCCCAAAAGATGCTCTCATGCTAGGTATTGACATTTATATCTTTTATATTACTCTCAGTCTAGGTCAGGCCAGATGTGATTTTTTTTAGCCAGGGCAGGAGCTTATTTTTACCAGAAGCCTGGTAACATAGAGGAGATTATACTTTTATCACATATCCCAAGGAGCCAAGCTAGAAAGTTAGCTCAAGGTCAAATTTGTCCACAGAGAAGGGGGGGAAAAAAAAAAAAAAAAAGATTTTGTTAACCTTTTCTTTACATGAGCTTTTATTTGATTTTTTTCCCCTTAATTGAAACAAATTGCTCTTGGAAGTGATAGCAGGATTGATCTATTGGATTCATCCTAGAACCAAATTAGAAGGCTAAAAGGTGGGATGAGGATCCGTAAAAGATGAGGCTAAAAATTCCTGCATTGGAAAAAGTGATGCCTTGGTTTAGGTGAAGGTCTTTGGGATGGGGATGGGGGATGTGCATCTTGGGAACTTTCATAAAAGTGGTTGCACTCATTCCAGAAAGCAAAGCCAATAAGGTAGGAGGAGACAGCTGTCCACTCAGCCCAGCCATTCCGTCGTTCTCTATGCGAAAAACTCTGTAAGAAGGAAGACAATTCCCCTGTGCTCAGCTGGCCAGACCCTGAATAAATTTTTAAATGCTAATTACATATAGAGGTTATTTTAAAGGAGACGGACATCCGTAATACCTCAGGTCTCTTCTTTGCCAGAAATGATCATCTCCCCTGTGTCTGCTGCACCCCCACTCCAGGTATTCCCGACCCTGGGAGAGGCTCTAAGGAGCTCTGGTAGCGTAGTGGTTACGAATCGGGCTGCGAACCATAAGGTCAGCAGTTCGAAACTGGGTTTATGAGCATATTAAGAATGCAGCTCTGGTCAAGACGGGACATGGGCACAGTGTAGGAAGCAGGATGGCCCTTAAATAGGAAGTACACAATGAGTGAGTCTGATGATAGACTCAATGCCTGTGCTTATATTACAATTCTGCTGACTTGGAAAAGACCAAAATTTTCTTTAGAGATTGATGATCTGACAGCCTGAACACTTCTGGCTTGAAAGTTGAGATCCTTGGGTGCAGGCCCAGGAAACAGGAACTAGATTTCACCTTTGGTTGATCTTTTGGGGTGTTTTTTTAAACAATTTTACTTATCCTATTTTCTGTGAGGTCAAGGAGGGCAGTGATTGACTCATTTACTTCCCAGGGGACTCACTGTGACTTCTCTGTTTTTTTAAAGGGTTATTCGCCAGCCAGTAGGCAAGATTTATTTTGCTGGTACTGAGACAGCCACACAATGGAGCGGTTACATGGAAGGAGCAGTGGAGGCCGGGGAAAGGGCAGCCAGAGAGGTAAGGAGGAAGCTGAGTCCCTCTCCTTCCTGAATCACAGTAGCCCTGCTGGCATCTCATCTTTCTCAGTCTTGACCCTGATTGAATCTGTCCACTTCCCTACCCCTCACTCCTGAGGCTTCTCTATGTCCAGCAGAGCCTTGAATACATGTTGAAACTATAGCAAGAACCTCATTTCATAATATTATGATCACTTTCTTTCAGGTTTTAAATGCTTTGGGGAAGGTGGCAAAGAAAGACATCTGGGTTCAAGAACCTGACTCAAAGGTAAGTTTGGCGGCTTCATCTCCGTAGAAAACTCTTACTTCTTCTCTACTAGCTTGTAATTGACTTATAAATCCAGCTGTCCAGGGAATATCCATCTGCAGATTTCTACAGATATGTTTTGCTGCTCCTTGTCAGCGCAAGAGATATCTGCTACTGTTATGTGTTTATTCATCTAGGACGTACCACCTGTGGAAATCATCCACTCCTTCTGGGAGAGAAACCTTCCTTCTGTGACAGGCGTACTGAAGATCATTGGGTTTACAACATCAATAACTGCCCTGTGGATTGTGCTATGCAAATGCAAGCAGCTACGCAGACCCTGAAGCATTAACCTCATACTCTTTGCAGTCTGTTCCCCGGCCTCTTCAAATGGAAAGCATTGTCAAATCAAAGGCTGTTAAGTGGTCCATCTTGAAGTGTACTAGATTTAACCCATCAGTTTAGTGTCCATCCATTTTAAGTAAAACGAACCAAAAGAATCCCTTAATTCATGTCAGTAAAAGCAAGTTACATCTACATGTCTGTGTGGAATAATTCGTGTTGATTGATAGAATAAAACTTTGTGAGCAATAGGTCCAGTTCAGGAAGTTAAAGTGCTCATCTAAAACTATCTCTGTGTCTATTTTTCTCTCCATTAAGTCAAAATACCTAATGATTTTCAGAAAGAAGACATTAAGCTTTCTGAAGAGGTTGAGTAGGTTTAAAGGCCCATGCTGTGAGTTGCTTTTCCTAGTCTTTGGAAATGGTGAAGTACAAAGGTATAGAAAAAGCCTGGAGGCTCAGAATTTCCTGGGGTGAGCTGTAGCACTTTGGACCTGGAAATGGTATGTGAAAGCATGTTGGGTTGAGGGGCATGCGGGCCCTCGTACCAGTAGGAGGACAGCTTGTGGGCTACTGCCTTGGGAATCTCTTGACTACTTTGAATTCCTGGAAATTTTCTAGACATTCACTCTTACAGGAAGCTTATTTGTATGTTTCCCTCTTTTGCTTCTTAAAAGAAAAAGGAAAAAAAAAAAAAAAGAGTGCTTACCAAGTTTGATTGTTTTCATTGACTGTGTCTTTAGACAGCTCCCTTGGTGAGCAGAGTAAAAGGGTATCAGGACTTTCCCTTGGGAGACTTTCCCGGACTAGGTCTACATGAGACCAGCTACAGCAGGCATGTTCTCCTCCTTCTGGTAGGTGGCAGTGATCATTTTACATCACTTCAGGCAAATAGTATTGTTCTTTTTTCAGGTAGATCCTGGTTATCTGAAGGTCCCTTATCATATTTTACCTCCTTTTTCCAATGATCATTGTAGAAGTGGGCAGATATTTTGCATGAGGAAATGTTAAGTCAATTACTCTCAAGTACTGAAATGCCCATGAGGAATTACTGATGATTATTTGTTAAGATGATCAAATACAGACAGGAAATTGTTGCTGTTGTTAGCCCCGTCGGGTCGGTTCCAACTCATAGTGACCTTGTATAGGGTTTCCGAGGAGTGGCTGGTGAGCTTGAACCACTGACTTTGTGGATCAATACAACTTTGCAGTCCAGCACATTTATCCACAGTGCCACATTTACCTCACTGGCTTTAGTTATTAAGTTTTATAAAAGACATGAAATATTCTATAAATGAAGGCTAAGTTCTCTCTCCTACGAGTAATGTGGGCCTCGAATAGTGCCCACCTTTTATCTCTCCATTTTAAAAACTCACATTTCTAAAAGTTCCTTCAAAAATGTTTCTACCATAAAATTATTCTGTAATAGAAATATCTGGAAAAAGTCAATACATGTAATCAAATAAAGTAGCTGAAAGAGTCCAGTAGATTTGGGCACACATATGGTAGCGTAGTGGGTACGAATCGGGCTGCTAACCTCAAGGTCAGCAGTTCAAAACTACCAGCTGTTCCGTGGGAGAAAGATAAGGCTTTCTGCTCCCGTAAAGATTTACAGCCACAGAAACCCTGTGCAGAGTCGCTATGAATCGGAACCGACTCCACGGCATATAACAACAACAACAATGGTATATATATATATATATATCAGTAATACCTTATCTTTCATCATTGATGAATGAGCTATTTCATCTTAAATGAAATTTCTAGATAACTGAAGCTTACTCTTTTGTGTATTAAATAAAAATTTTGATGAACTTATTTCTACACGTTATTAAATAAACTAGATTCATACTCATTTTTATTATTCAGGTTAATCATGTACCTTGATAATTTTATACTTTGATCATAGAAGGATATCACTGCATTGTACTAAATACACCTTTTGTACTAAATATCCAAAAATTGATTTATGGTAGCTGAGCCCTACTGCTGCTTCTGTTTGCCCATTTTCAATATTTTATTCCATATCCATTATCGCCTAATACCTCTTTACCTAATCCTTTTCTTAATGGAAATTAATGATTGCCAGATGAAACCAGTCAACCAAGTTTATTGCATCATTAACCTTATCATAAGCCTGAAATTAAGCCACTAGACCCTGATACGAGGACTTAAAGTCTTCCAACACAATGCCTCTCCTAAGAGCAAAGAGCAGATTTTTAGCTAACTTAGGAGTTTGGGTAAGGTCTTGGGTAAGCTCCAATACATGAGTTGCTGTATATTCCCAAAGTGCTTTGAGAAATTTCATTCCTAATCTATTTCAGTTGTTTCTAGTCACTTACTGATTAACTCAGTCCTGACACACCTTCTGAAAAATGCTGATTTATGCTCTGAACTGGCATTAGTTTTAACAGTAATCAGGTAGCCAACATTTTTTAAGTCTTAAGCGTTGAGGAACTTCTGGGTATGTGATCTGCTGTCCAAACAAACTTTCAGAAACCAATTTAGCCTAACTAGATCAGCCCTGCTAAATTACAGATTTGGTGTCAAATTTAATGCCAGTCCAAATGTGTCTAGACATGAAACTGAAGCAGAGAATGCCCATAATATAAAAGGTTGTCCAACATGAAGATGCCCTAGATCTTTTTTTTCAAACCAGAGAAATTAAAGTCATTTTAAGAAACTAATAGGATGTGACCTGTTAAGACATCCACTTCACGGTTCTGATGGCTAAGTTTACCTCATTCCACAGTAAGATCAAGAAAGAAATCATAAATTATTTTAAATTTTAAATCACAATTAACTGTTAAGATCTTATACTCCACGGAAGATAAAACGTTAAAGGATTGTGAACTGTTTTCGCTTGATTGTGAACTTGGTGCTTAATGTTCTAAATCTGAAATTTGCCACTATGCTACATATATGTGTGTGTGTTGCAATTAAAGTTAACATTCTGCTTTTATGGTACCGTTTTGTTTTAAATAAAGTGTACTACCACCCTGATCAGTTCTGATTCCTGTGTTCAGTGGATGTTCAGAATCGTGTTGTCCATGGATGTCCAAAGCCATTTGGTATTGACTCCAAAGTCTCAAAGTTTGGTTTGATTCTCACACGTTGCTGAGGTTTCTTGGGGAGTGATTAAATGGTAGAATATTGTAATCTGCCTCACTGGGCAGAAGATCTGTATTCTGATTCAAGTTTTCCCACTTAATTAACTGTGATAACTTGAGCAAATCACTTTGGTTCTTTGTCTCAGTTTCTTCATCTGGAAAAAGTGGTTGCACTAGATAACTTCTAAAGATTCATTTCACAGCAGCATTATGTAATTTATGAATTTCATTGCTGGTGCTGTCTGTTGTTGCCTATTGGTATTGCAGAGGTAAGAAAGAACCTTGGCCTTTTTGCACCCTAGTTAACTCCTTAGGTTGAGTTCTCTGGCAGGAAACCCTGAGATGCAGATCTGAGCAGAAAGCTTTCTGGGGACAGCTCCAGGTGAGCAGAGAAAAGTTGATATGAAACAATTGTAACAGAAGCCTCAGTAACCTAATGGGGAGGTGGGCCGGCTCTTAAGAGTAGTCTGTCATTGAGACAAAGGGATCTGGTATGTGTATCTCTTATTCAGCCATCCCCTGAGAGGAGATGTTAATTAGCTTGAGTGAGGCAGGTCCCTGTGGACGAGGATTGTTTCTGCTGAGGATCACAGATGTGAAGTGAGACCAGGAATATAAGATGAAGGGTCTAGGACAGGCACCACAGGCAGCCACTCCACTCCAGGAAATATAAAGTGACGCTGTCACATAATAGACCTTGTGGACTTGAACTTTGGTCTCACCGATGGGATGGAACGGATCGATCCCTATTAGGTAAGGGAGCTGCTTTTAAAAGGTTTTATTTCTGCACTGCTCTTTGTATGGAAGAAAAAGCAAACTGGAAGGCATCCTGGAAACAATTTAACTGCCTTCTCAATGAAGGAATGCCCTCTATGGGTTGCTAAAACTGAGCAGTAGGCCTGAGCATCAGGGAATGGTGGGGACTTTGGCTGACCTGCCTAGTATCTGCTCTGCACAAGGGCGTTTATATTCAAAAGATTACTGACCAGTCAAAACACATTTGAAGGCTTTGTTCACATGCCAAAATTGTTCTCAAGTATCTAATCATTGCAAGATTTGGTTTTATATCACTTAAATGACACATTCTTTTAATGCCTTGGATTTTCTGAGAAATGAGCTCCAAGATCAGCAACCATTTGATAAAATTACCTGAATACCTGGTTTGGAGAGGGCAAAAAGAAAAGAAAGCCCTCTTAACCAGAACTCTGGAGCCTTGGTATGGCGCTGTAGAATCGGCTGTTCAAACTGTAAAATCGGCAGTTCAAAAATCCTCAGTAACCCTTTACAGGGCCAGAACCTACTCAATGACACTTAAAACAATAGCAACCAAAAATCTCTTTCAAGAAATAAGCCATCCCTCAACCCATCACAGATTGTTGTTGTTGTTGTTAAGTGCCGTTGAGTCAGTACCGACCCATAGCGACCCTGTATAGGATTTCCAAGGAGTAGCTGGTGAACTTGAACCACGCTTGTGGTTCAAATGACTTTGCAGTCCAGTGCATTATCCCACAGCGCCACACCAGGACTCCAGATACATAGATGTAAACACTATGATTGAGAAATATGTCAAACTTCATTGGAAAAACTGCCTACACACAGTGAGATAGAAATTACAGGGCTTTTTTTTTTTTTTTGTCAGCATTTTGTGCTGACTACAATATAATTCCCGAAAACTAGCCATGAACACTGGATTAATTAAAACACAAAACAAAAACCTATACCATTCACTTGATGTGGTGCTGCAGGATAAGCACCAGACTGCTAACCACAAGGTCAGCGGTTTAAACCTACCAACTGCTACTTGGAAATCTTATACAGGTTTGAGTTGGAACTAATTTTACAGCATTTAATAACAATAACATAATTACACCTCAATTGGACTCAGGTTTTCC